TCTGCTCTCGCACCCTAAAGACGAGGCCTCCGCGTGCGGCGGTTCTGCCCTGCACAGCGGGGGACGGCGACCCGCACGCCCGCCCGGCACCCTCGTCTGCCCCCTCGGAAAGGCCTTTTTGGTTTCGTTTTAATGTTTAACTTCAGCCGAACTCCAGGCTCTCAGAGCCTGCGGTAAACTCACCGGACCTACTCGTCGGCCGAGGGGGGCGGGACGCGGCGTCCCGGAGAATGCTGCCGCTGGTCTCCTGTGTGTTACAGTCTGGGCCCGCAGTGCGCGCCTTGGATTAATAAGTGAAGTGAGAGTTTAAGGCCCCTGACCAGCCGGAAGGAGAAAATGTGTGCCGGTGTTAGGAGAAGCCCACGCGGTGTGCCGGGTCGCTGGGAGGGCAGATGGACGTAGTTACCAAAAGTTACATATACTGTGGGTATCTTGATAAGTCTGCTTTATTTAAACTCTTCTGTGTCTTATAAACATATTTGTTACCTACTCCTGCATAAATCATCCCAAAACTAAGTGGCTTAACTCATTTTTATTTTTTTTGTACTGGGGATCGAACTCGGGACCTTGTGCTTACAAGGCAGGTGATGGAACCACTGAGCTAAATCTCCAGCCCTTAACTTGTTTTTAACCTCAAAAGTTTCTGCACATGAGGGAACAGGGCATTATTGGCCTAGCTGGGTTCGCTCAGTTTCCTCACAGATCACCCAGCCCTCTTATCTCGAGGCCTTCCGCAGGAGTTGGTTCCTCACAGGCAGCTGAAGATCCCAGCCCTTATCTGTCCTTGGGAGACCAACCATTAATGGGGCTCTCTCCAGTGCAACACGACCTGATCAAAGTCTGCAAAGACCCTATAGGAAAAGTGCCAATAGCAAAATAGACATTCCCTTCTTTTTTACCTAAATTTGAAATGACTTTTTTTTTTTTCCATGTTACCAGGTCCAACAGATTATTGGGCACCATGGCAGAAGCTGCCTACAGTGTTGTCAAAGCAAAATAAACTGATAGGAATTTAAGCCTCCAAGTCTTTCTTGAACATCTTGAAACAGATGTCTTGTGTGCTGTCTTTATCACCAAGAAAGTAAAATTATTCTGAGTCTAGTTCCATGAAAATTTTAATTTTTGGCTACTAAGCTGAATGATACATTTTTCTGTCCTTGAGCAAGAGAAATGTAAGCAGACAACTGCTGTCTTGGTATTGTAGATGATAAAAGCCTGCAGAGTGCTCTGGTCATGGGAAAAGGACAAATGAAACATTTTGTTCTAGGTCATGGTTAGGGAAGTCAGTAGGACAGGGAGAGGTGAAAAGAAAAAGATTATGTAGTGATTAAGACTAAGTAGAAGTTAATTTTATACATCAAAAGTCACATTTTGTATTCTGTATTTTCTAGGCTTTTAAGGGTCTGAAATTGCGCCTATTTTATGTTCATACTGCATCTCTGACAAGTTTTAAGTTTCATAAGGAGAGTTCCTGGCACTGAAATACATCCAAGAGAAGGCAGGATGTCATTTAGCCATCCGAAGTAGAAAGCAATACTGCAATGCCCTTTTACCCAAAAAGGCATTGGCTGAATGAACCCAACAAAAGGGAATATATAAAATGGGGGGGTGCTTCTGAATTATGCCAAGCAATGGTTTTAAAATACAGCACCATGCGTCAGCAATGTAAACCTCAGAATTTCACCTGTGTTTTAAGATGGCATTCACTCTGGGTAAGAAAGGAGATTGAGATTGGGAAAAGAAATTGAACTATGAGTTTTTGACATGTAAGAGCATGTCCCACATTGCAGGTGCATAAAGACTTGAGGCCTTTAATGTCACATTATACAGATCTCTAAAACTTGATGTGATCTAGAGTGACTAAATCACTCATGGCTAATTTTTAGAAAACCTAGTTGTAAGTGGTAGAATTAGAGCAAAGATTCTGCACTGTATCATCAGCCTTGAAGCCTTGAAAGCAATTTTCAGTGCATGCCACTTGACCACAATGTATTCTCTAGCAATAGAAACCATATCAGTACTCTGCCAGCTATACAGTTAGATTTTGGCTAAAAGTTTAGTTTTCATCTGCTTTTGTCAGTGTTGTTGACATCTTTAGCTCTTCAATATGATATAGAATGAAATAAATCATTATGAAATTTATTTTTTTAATAACCAGCCAAGTAAGAGTCACAGTGATACTCTGACCTAGTTAAAAATCTGATAGCTGGGGATTTAGCTCAGTGGTCTGCATCCTGCTTTGCAAGCATAAGGTCCTGAGTTCAATCCCTGGTACAAAAAAAAAAAAGATTGTTAGCTTACCTTAGTATTTCAAAAGGGTTGAGAACTGAAGCTACTTCATGTCTTTAATTTGTACTGACTGGCTCTGTAGCCTGGGTGAGTTGCAATGCTGGGGCTGTTATCTCATTATGATGTTGAAAGAATAACTATTAGAGTGTTAGGAAAGGTCTTAGAGACTGGTAAGTAATAAAAACGGAAAGAATTGGTACCAACTTTGATTCTTATTTGAAAGAAATATAACTGTTTCTATTTCAAAAGTGCTTGATCTTCAGAATAATGAAAGCACTGACAGGCTTCCTTTGTAGCATGTTTACAGTGTTAATTATAAGCCAGGCATGGTGGCATGTACCTGTAGTTCCAGCTATTGGGAAGCTGAGGTAAACTGCTTTGAGTCCAGTCTGGCCAACATCACAAGAGCTGTATGAGAAATGAATTTTTAAAACGTTATTCTTTTGAAGCACATTGATTTTTCAGGTTTTAAAATTTCTGAAAAGTAGAAGTAAAAATTTATCATTTTTCTTGTAATGGAGAACAGGAAAAAAAACATGGAAAGTGCTTTTAAAATTATTGTAGTCAGTATTTTCTTTCTGTTTGACTTTATTGTCTTGTAGTACCTGGTTAAGCTTATTTTACTGATTAGCATTTCACTTTTCCATTCACTCATTTGTTCATTCATCCATTCAATAAATATTTACTTAGCTTCTATCAGATTGCTAGAGATATAGCAGGGAGAGTCCATGTCCTCGGTAAGCTTATTGGAGAAAGAAATAGCACACAAGTGTTAAAAAGGAAATTTATGGTATGTCAGACAGTGATAAGTGCTGAGGAGAAAAAACTGCAGAGTAAAGGGATTCCAGAATGTGGAAGGCAAAAAGAAAGGTGTTACAATTTTAAAGAGAGGTGGCCTTTCCCTGTGAAGATAGCATTCATACAGAGATCAGAATGAACAAAGCCATAAGCCTTGGAAGTTAGTGGATTAGATCCTTAGGTATGAAGGGAGTGTGTGTGTAAAGGTCCTGGCACAGTCTAATGGTTTGTGTGTTGAAAGACTGAGCAGGCAGCTACCCTCTGGGGGAGGCAAACAGCTTCAGAAAGTCAGAGAAATGGCATGTGCTAAACCATATGGTACTTTATAGGCCACTGGATTTGGTACTTCATTTCTCCAGTGAAGTTGATGTGTCCAGAAGACACATGGCATGATTTGGCTTTGATTTTAAGAGGCTCAGTCTGACAGCAGGATCAAGAGACACAGGAGGCAAAGACAGAATGGAGGTCCAGACAGGATGTCCTAAGGTCAAATGTGGCTTGTCTTTTCTGAAATTGCTGTTGCGGTGTGATGCCACTGTGGTGCTGTTGAGAGGTGGGGCCTGCCAGAGGACGTTAGGTCATTCAGGGGATTAATCCCTTTGTGACAAGAATAAGTTGCTGTAAATTGAACCCAGGCCAGGTCCTCTTGTCTCTTTTCCAAATGTGCCCACTTGCTCTTCTGCTGTACACAGCTCAAGGTTCCCACAGGATGCCTGATCAGCCCACTTCCAGAAGCGTGAGCTAAGTAAATATGGTTTATAAACCCGCTCAGGTTCAGGTGTAACCACCAAAGAAAATGGACTAGAGCAGGAGGCTGTTATAAATTCCTGGGCAATGGTTGATAGTGATACCCTTGCTGATTGCAGTGGAAATTGGTAAGAAATGGACAGATGCTGGATATAATTTGACAGTTGAGTAATAAGGTTTTGCTGATGCATTGGGTAAAGGAAGTGGAAAAAAAGAAAGAAAAGATGGCCTGCCTTGCAAGCACAAGGACCTGAGTTCGATCCCTGGTACAAAAAAAAAAAAAAAAAAAAAAAAAAAGAAAGAAAGAAAGAAAAGAAGTAAACATAATTATAAGGTGGTTGGCCTAAGGATCTGGGTCCAGAGAGCTGTCATTTACACATCTGGGGTAAATTATGGAAGGCAAATCAGTTCATTTTGGTTATGCTAAATTTGAGATGCATTTTAGATCCAAGAAGTGAAGTCATTAATAGATAGTTAAATATCTAAGTTTGAAATTCAGGGCAGAGATGTGGGCTGGAGAAATACATTTGGGAATCAGCAGAGTTCAGATGAGATCCAAAGGCACGAAAGCAGGTGATACCACCTGTGGCAGTGGTGACAAACCTTTGAGAGATCAAGTAGCAAACTGCAACCCAAAACACACTTATTTGTCACTGTGTGAACATTCACTTAATCCAGAGTGAGGTTTTAGTTTAGGAAAAAACCCATACATTAACATCTTTTGACTGGATAGGGAAAAAAACAAAACAATAACACATATGCCTTAGGTTCGCCACCGCTGACCTGGAGGCAAACCTGGACAGAGAAGACTACAGACACAGATCCCCAATGGAGCACTGAAGACCAGAAGTGGAAGCGGAGGCAGTGGCACCTGTTTCTTACCATTGAAAGCTCTAAACGGTTTGCCAGAGAATCCAGAAATAATG